TTTCTGTTACTCAAAATTAGAGCTTTTTCGACTGCACCTAGCAGGAAGCAAATGACCAAGAAGGCAGGAGGTGTTTTCTGAGCTTGATCAGCCTCAGCTTTTCCAAATGGGTTCATGGGAAATTGCACAACACAGAGAGTACACCTTCGGTAATTAATTCCTTTTACATAAAGAAGAGGAAAGGAATTACGGTAGGATTTCTGTACTGTACTACCTGATGACATTTACAATTATGTAACTTCAGGGCTCTTCATAGTTCTCTGGAGCTGAAATTCTTGAACTATATTTATGACAGGTGAGTAAGGTTTGAACACTTAAATTTTGCTTCTGTTGTTTTAAAGTTGGAGGCTATGATGAAAACAGGCAATTAGCTCTGTCGTCCTAGTGTCAGATGTAGGAGTCTCTCAGACTTGTCTTCAAAATGGGAGTTGATTCATGTTTTATTTGTCTTTCTAGTCACTAGAAATAAAAGCACACGTTTGTTTATTCTTGCACTGAGTTAGGTATCAATAGTAGAAATAATACTGTGTGATTTCCTTTGATGCAGAACTCTGCATGTGAACTTTGGAAGCTGTGTAAACAAGCAAGATAAATTGTATAAGCATTGAAGATTGAGTTATGGATGCAGCTGTATCGTGTTTTCACCATTCCTGTTTCCAGGCTCACTCACATTCTTAAAACACTGAAGACCCCCTGTTTCACCTTGCTTCAGCTCACTTATAGGCCCTTTTCGACACGGATGTTGTTGTTCCCACTGACAGCTGCTAGATGGGGTTCAGAAGCAAATTCCAAATAGGGACACTTCTAAAGTCTTACAAAATTTGGACTAGAGACTTCAAGCCTGTCTCATTGTTAAACAGAGTTACATTTCAACAGGAAGCTCTTTCATTTGTATTTTTGGGCATCATCTTTGCTGTCTGCCTATATTCATATATAAAAGTCCTGATGCCCTAAATTGTCAGATTTAGTAGAATGTACATCTGCATCTTTTAAAAATGATATTTTTTAAAACTTGCTGTTTTCTCTTGGACTCCCACTCCACTGGCAGTGTCACAAGCTTAACGTGTAGAAATAAGCTGGTCTATATAAAATAATAAACTTTTTTTTTTTTTGGAGGCGGGTGTTAAAATAATATGATGATGATGATTAGTATAAAAACACAGAGCCAATTTAAAAGAAAAAGAGTTAATATACTGACCATGGTGTGGTGGGTTCACGTTGGCCAGCAGCCAGACACCCACCCCACCCAGCTGCTCATTCACTGCCCCTCCTCAATAGGACAGGGGAGAAAATACGATGTCAGGGCTCGGCTGCCGAGATAAAGGCAGGGAGACCACTCACCAGTTACCGTCATGGACAAAGCAGACTTGGCTTGCAGAAAATTAATTTAATTTACTGCCAATTAAAATAGATTTGTGTAGGGAGAAATAAAGGCAAATTGAAACAACCTAATCCCCCCATACTCTCCCCCTTCTTTCCAGGCGTAGCTTCAGTCCTTCATTCCCAAGGCATTTACCTCTCTCCGCACCACAAGCGGCGCAGGGGGGATGGGGTGGGGAGTTGCAGTCAGTCCATAGCACCTCCTCTCTGCTGCTCCTTCCTTCTCACACTTTTCCTGTACACCAGTGTGGGTCCTGCCCATGGTCTGCATTGCAGAATCTTTCTTTATTTGCATGTTCGTGTGTTATTGCTTTAGGCTTTACAATTTAATTTCTTTGTAAAAGAACCTGAAATCAAACAATGGATAAGATATCAAATTATTAACAGCTGGAAGTTGTGCTGTTGTGATCAAAATAGTAATAATTTGAATATAGCAGAGTTGCCTTTTTCTACCTGCTTTGAATTATAAAAGCGTTAGTGCATTAGACTTTCTGCATAGTTTTGCTTTGCTTTGTTCTTTTAATATTTCTTGGAAATTAAAAATGGAAATGTAGCCGAACAATTCTCTAAAGGTCACTTGTCTCATTTTAAAGTTAAATGATTTATTTACCCTAGAAATGATTTACATGTAAACATTTACATATAGCTTGTTATTTTTAAAAAAAAAACAAATCTGAAATTGATTTGGTTCCTTTTACTATGAATTTTTCACCAAAAATTATGTTAGGCATGGTGTTTGCTTTTCTGAATGAAAATTAAATTGATCTATTAGCGTTACATCATTGTACAGATACTTTCAGGAGGTGGTGTTTGTTGATGAGATTGGTGAACCCAACCCTCCTACCACCAGCTTATTCCCTTATTGCAAATAAGGGTTATTCCAAAAAGAGTAAGTCTTATTCCCAAAAAAAAATTAAACATTCATTCTGTAAAACATTCATCATCATTGCTGCAGCAGGTGGAAATAAGAGCAGCCTGGTGGTTTTGTCTCAGTGTAAGAGCTGAGTCCCGTGGCACACAGGGTGCTGTGCTCGGAGCCGCCCCAGAACAGCTGGCTGGAGCGCCGGCGGCCAGGCTGTGAAAGCGGGGCTGCCACCATGTGCTGGGGACAACAGAAAGTGTCGTCGGTGCTTGGAACCAGCACTGCCTGCTCTTGCTGTGTGTGACCTTGCCAGCGGCACGTCTTGGTTCAGAGATCCAGTTCTCGGAAGAGATGAGACCCAACTGTCTTTAGCCATGGCATAAGTTACCCAGATTACGTGGGGGATATAGCTGCACAGACTGCACTGGGAAGCTAACCTCTGTCTTAATCAAGTACTTTGGGTTCAAAAGTGGCATTGCCTATCATCATCCATCAAACCACTCACATTCCTCCATGAAACTCTTTCTCCTTGGCTCCTGGAACAGAACTGATTAAGAGTTAGGTGTTGTCTGGTTAATGTTTTTACCATTTGCTTCTGCCCTTCCTGCCTGTCTGCATCTGTGGTTATCTATTGCATTATCTATTCCCAGATTATAAAATCTTCGGAGGATGCATCATCTCTTTGCCTGGTAGGGCTTCCCCCCTCCGCCTTCTCAGCTCCTGAGGCTTTGTTCCGATAGCTTCCTCCCTTTGGTAGGAGATTCTTTCAGTGTCATCACTTTGAAAGCTGCCTTTTGCAGTATTTTGTTTTTAAAATGTACTGCTTAGTAACTAATCTCAAATGAGAGCAAGGCAAGTCTGTTGTATAGTAATATATAATGAATTATGGTATGAACAAAGAATGCATGTAAGCCGTACACTCACACAGAACAGTCCTCCTTTGGGTCACTGTTGTGCATAGCATTCCTCTTACAAAGTTGCTTTGGGTAAATAAAGAATCTAAAGTTTTGATTTGTGAAATTAAGTGGAAGACAGGAATATAACTGCTTGGGAGACAAAATCAAAGACAAAATTAGTAATAAATGTTGTTTGGCAATAAAATGATTGACTGATTTAAAAACAAAACAAAACAAATTGAAAGCATTTGTGCAGTGCCAAAGCTGAGGTTCTCTATTATAGCTCTGCTATAGATTCATATAAATTAGCAAAAGTGCTCTTATACCACACATAGCCTTGCCTTTGCATGCGCATACATGCCTTACTGTTCCTCAGAGCATTTATTTATTGGTGGGAGCTTTGTAGAGGCAAGAGAATTGGATTATATATTATGTTAAACACATTCCCATATTACTGTTGTTTCATTGTACTGCTTAAGCTCCCAGTAAGAATTTTAATTTTATGTATATTTTAAAGAAACATTCCTTCTTTTCTAGTAAAAGTTTGGAAAAGCAGCTATTTTTTTTAATGCTGACAATCCAGACTATTCAGGCTGACCTAAGCAGAAATGTTATTTGAGAACTGAACTTCACGCTTAGCCTTTTCCATTTGTGTTTTATTTTCTTTCTGCAGAAAAAGGATGCACAGAGATAGTTTCTGTGGGCTTAGGAAACAGGTGATAGCACACAAAGCCCTGTGTTTATATGTACTGTGATGTTTTGATTTTTAATTAATGGTATTTTTTGAAAACTTCAAAGCAGGTCAATAGAGAGGTGAGCTCAGATAATGTTTGATGTCAGCAAGTGAAAATGGAAGAGGCTTGTCTGCCCCTTGTTGTGTGTGTGAGGGGTGGGGGATTGTATCTATTTATTTGAAATTTTCTTAGTTCGTCTTTGAGTGAGTGAAAAAAAAAAAAGGAAGAAAACATTATCTAATCAAAGCTGCTCAGTCAACTAATGACGTCAAGCAGTAACCTCTTTCTCACCATATTTCCTTTGGACTATAAACTATTTAATACAGCTAGAAATTACCTCATCCATCATAGCAATGTAGCCCTTTTCTGTGTTTCACTATGTGGTGCGTTTATCAGCACTGTGCATGGGAAGGATGTTAAGAAAAATATCCTCTGTAATTGAATTTGCAGATTGGAATGTGGGGAGGAGGAATGGCCCATGCTGGCACCCAGCCAGCGCCTCAGGTTGTCAGCCTCCTGCTAATGAAAAATGCTTTAATGACGGCACCAACCAGGTGCCAGGATATGAGATACACATGTTCAGTATTGTACTTGTGTCTAACGTGGATTTTGAGGCAGTAACTTAACACAGGGACATGACCTGCACGTGGTCTTGCTCTGTGCTGACTTGACTGCTGCATGTAAGAATGATGAACTCCACTTGAGTGCATTGGGGGGTGAGAGCAGGTGTCAGGCGTTATCACAGAGAAATAAAAGCGCTTCTTACCTTGAAGTCATTTGCTCATATGACCTTGCTGTTAGAAAGAATAATTTTGCCTTCTGATGTAGTTTTCAGCAGCACATCACTTTTCCCTGCTGTTTCCAGTAAAAGTAATGATGCTACTTAGGATATTCAGAGGTGACCTGATGTGCACACGGGTAATTAGAGCAGGTGTAATTCTGTATTTGGGTTTTGTAAAGAATAGTGTGGCATTGGTTTTCTGAAAGGAAAGATGATAATCGTCAAATACTTAAAAATTAGCAGTGAAATTGCAGTTGGCAAGTCTTTGCAGTAGCAGTATTTTATTTTTTTTCTTGTTGCTTATACCAGTCTAGAACATGAGTATCATAGATTTGTTTTTCCCTCAGAATATGGCGGCATGGGCTTGGACTTCTCCTATAGCATTGCAGTGGCAGAAGAGCTGGGAAGTATCCGCTGTGGAGCTATTCCTATGGCTGTTGGAGTGCAAGCTGGCATGGCTACTCCTGCTCTTACAAGGTAAATTTCAGAGAGTTTGGTTTAGCCTAAAACCCAAATCATCATGTGCTTAGTCCTAAAATTCAATCTGTATAAGAGGAGAAAAAAAATTACTGTGCAGATTTGCTGTCTAGTTGCTCTTCAGTAACACTTGAGGAAGGAACTTTCTCTCTACCTCTTTCAGTTTGGTTTAGAGGAGAAAATACTTCTTTTTTTTTTAACATTAGAATATTATATATTAAAACATAGGCTTTGTTTAATAGTAGATTATATGTTTACAAACGTAGAACCTTGGTGCCACAACCAAGAAAACAATTTTAATTCCAGAATCCCCCTATTGATGTTGTATTTTTTCTTAGCCAGGTATCCCACTGCAGTCTTACTAAGGATGCATTTAGTTGTAATGATTATGATCGGTCTAATTCTATTTTAAAATTTACTTGCTTTTTTTTCAGCTTTACAAGATGCTCCTCGCTGACTGTGAATTTTCAGAAGTAATGATGAATATTGATGGAAATCCCAAAGATGTAGTACATGTATCATGCTTCCTAAATAGGCCCATTCTAGGCAATTAATAGTTTTTGTTATTCTCATCTGCTTGTGTCAGTGTTCCCCTTTTATCACTTGCTATCATTCAGGCTCCTGCACTTTCTGAATATGTTTTGGTTGGGTTTTTTTCCTTCCTCAATAAAAGTGGCAGTTACCAACTTCTTCTTCATGTAGTAGTTTCACAGACATTCTGCATCAAAATAGCAGTTTGCAAAACTAGAGGGAGGTGACAGGCTGGTCCAGCAGTTTGCTGCTGGAGTGGGGATACACCTAAAATTCTGGAAGGTGGTGGTGGGGATTGAATTCAAATAATGATGATGGAGTCAGGAATTCCTCTGCACAAAACAGATACACAAGAAGGGGATTTTTGCACAGCAGAGCATTTTAGGGTTGAGTTGTTTGTTGTTCTGGGTTTTTTTAGTTTGTCCCCTGCCTCCCCTCCCCAATTCTGAATGAAAATGCCTGTAAATCCACCGTAGAGTCTGGAATGTAGGCTTTGTTCCCTTGACATTCATTTATCCTTCTGCTAGGTATGTGTGGCTTTGGAGGTCTCAGCCATGAAAAATCTTTCTAAAAGTTTTCTTCTCTTTTGTGTAATACACCAAAAGCTTACTGAGAGCATGGAGTTCAGTATGTCTGTTGCAACACTAGCTTATAGTCCAAATGAGAATAAAACTAGTATTTTAAAGGCTTCAGAGAATAGTACCTTGCCCCCATGATAGCCTTTTATTCCCAGGGGTTTCAAAAAAATATATGTGGGTAAAGGAAGATCGGTCTTTGTTCCATTGCAGTTTTTTGGCCTTCTGTTACTCTGTTCTGCTGTAGTAAAGCAGTGAAGCTACATACATCTGTGCTAGTGAAATCCTAAAGTGGATGTTCTTGGAGAGTGAATGTGAGAATGTTAACATGATGAAATCTGTACTTGAATTTGCATCTGTATTGCTGAACTTTTCCTCCTCTGTTAAGTCAATTCCACTGACTAGTTGTACAGTACAGTGTCCCACTCTTAAAATGTAAAAGTGAAACTTGGTAATGAAAAGAGAAAGCTGGTTCCTACAGGAAATTTTGCATGGGTGCAGCTTTACTTCATGCAGTATAGTGAGAGGGCTAACTGCTTGTCCTGGGTCGTGGATTCAGGTTGCATTCACAACCTGAATGTTTTCTTTAAAGATAGTTGTGGACCATAGTGATCCTAAAGAAGTTCAAAGAAATAATCCAAATATTGCATCTTAACTATGCATTGTTACACACGATGCATCAGCAATGCACAAAGTAAACAGTAATATGCAAATCAACCATCACATCCCCTAAAAAAAAAACTTTTTAAAAGAAATCTGAAGCCCTTTGTTGGCTTTCCTAACTTTGGACTTTTTTCAGCATTCATCAAGCATGTATTGAGTGCGCCTACAAACCAACTCCGTGAATGTGATATGTCGTGAAGATGCTCTGCCACTATAAATTAGAGATGTTCCCTCAATTAGGTATATAGACAGTGCAGTAGTTTGAACAGATGGATACACATATGCATACACACACAGAGCTTTTTAAATTTTCATACTTTGGAAAAATAAAGTCTTAAAAGATCTAGAGTCGGGATGCCTCCTGATGCTGTTTCTGCAACTTCCATGGATTTCTTACTTCAGTGGCAAGCTGTTGCAAGGCTGAGTTTGTGAAAGTCTTTGAGATATTCAGTTTAATGGGAAGTACCTTGTAGTAACAATTTTAATTATATAAATGATAAAATTTGAAAACATTACCCATATCTGTTTAGGTATTTATATTTATATTTATATTCATTGTTCCTGACCCTTTTTACTTCATTCTTTCTGATTTTTTTTTGGTAACCTTCAGAAAGTTATATTCATTGTCATACTTGGAAGCAACTCTGCAGATTTTAATTTATATGCATTGCTATTGTACAAACAAATATAGGAGAAAATAGTTCTGTTTCATTTGAAGATGACTGCTCCATTTTTTTTTTTTGCAGATTCCTCTAAGTAGCCCTTTCTAAATTTGAGAACTAAATGCAAAATTTTTTATCCGCAGTGGTCTGACCTTTGATGTGCCTGGTTCTGAACATAACTCTGTCAGGTCTTTCAAATGCATTCAAGTATAATACTTTGCTTGCTTTCATGCTTACAAGTAGAGTGGAGAAAGTACTCACAGCTGATGCGGTGAAATAGATACATTTCCCTAGGCTTGTAAACAAACCTATAGGCTGTCACATCAATAGTGATACCAGATCAATGTACAGCTCCTGTATCTCAGCAGTAGGCAGTAAACT